AGGGTTTGGGGTTTTTTTTAAATAATAAGCTGAAAAAGGCATGAATGTTAGATCTAAGCTGAAGAGAGGTGCAGACCTCCCAAACAGAAAGGTCAACTAGAATGAGGTTGGGATAGAGACCAGCTAACACTGAGTGTTCCATGTGCCTTTGAAGACGAGACAACCTTTGAAAAGTTACTCCACTTGAAACTGGTATTGGCAAGCTCAGCCTCCGCCAGGTACACATCAGAGCTGCACATCCTTGCCTCTTTTAGGGGCCACCTCACAGGAAAGCAAAGCCAATTTTATTCTAAAGTTTATTTCAATGTGGTAAGAACATTTAACATGAGACATACCCTCTGAACAAAATGTTAAGAGTACGATGCATTATTCTCGGTTATCTGTATACAGATTTCTAGAGCCGATTCATTTTGCTGAACTGAAACTTTATGCTGTTTATTCATAACCTCCCATTTCCCCCTCCTCCTGGCCACCGACAACCACATTCCATTCTTTGATTCTACGAGTTGATTTTAGATTACCCCTTATAAGTGTAATCGTGCAGAATTTGTCTTTCTGTGACTGGCTTATTTCACTTAGCGTAATGTCCTCAAGGCTCATCCATGTTGTTTCCTTTTAAGATTGAGTAGTATTTCATTTTATGTATGTACCACATTTTCCTTTTTTTTTAATTAAAGTATGGTCAGTTTACAATGTTGTGTCAATTTCTGGTGTACAGCAGAACTTTTTAGTCACACATGTACATATATATAGTCCTTTTCATATTCTTTTTTTTATAATTTAGTAATACACTAAGCTTTATTAAAACACAACACAGCCAAGTGAATTCGATGATGTTACTAATTGTAGGAACATGAAATTTTTTCACAAGTTTGAAATCTTAAAAAATAAATCAACATTTCAATGCATTGACCTTGTTTTCCTTGAAAAAAAATGTATTTTTAAATTGTTAGCTTTTCTACCTGCTTAGGATTTGCAATGTGGGATCATTGTATAGAGATTCTTTACATTTTTGTAAAGTATGAGATAATCTATTATCTCTAATCTTAGTCAATCAAATGATTGCTGAAGCTTCACGTAGAACTACATATAGAAAACCCTAAAAGCTTCACACAAAAACTACTAGAGCTGATAAAAGAATTTGGCAAGGTAGCAGGATGCAAGATCAACATACAGAAATCAGTTGCTTTTTTTTTTTTATTTTAGGTTACTGCAAGATATTGAATGTAGTTTCCTGTGCTGTACAGAAGAAACTTGTTTGTTTTATACATAGTAGTTAGTATATGCAAATCTTGAACTCCCAGTTTATCCCTTCCCCACCCCCTGGTAACCATAAGTTTATTTTCTATGTCTGTTAGTCTGTTTCTGTTTTGTAAAATAAGTTCATTTGTATCACTTTTTTAGATTCCATATATAAGTGATATCATATGATATTTTTCTTTCTCTTTCTGGCTTATGTCACTTAGTATGACAATCTCCAGGTCCATCCACATTGCTGCAAATGGTATTTCATTCTTTTTTATGGCTGAGTAGTATTCCATTGTATAAGTATACCACATCTTCTTTATCCAGTCATCTGTTGATGGACATTTAGGTTGTTTCCATGTCTTGGCTATTGTGAATAGTGCTGCTGTGAACATTGGGGTGCCTGTATCTTTTTGAATTGGCACTTCTTCTAGATAAATGCCCAGGAGTGTACATTTTCTTATCCAGTCATCTGCTGCTGGACATTTAATGTGTTTTCACATCTTAGCTATTGTGAACAATGCTGCAATGAACATAGGAATGCTAATACCTTTTTGATAAATTGATTTCTAGTCTTTCAGATAAATATCCAGACATGGGTTTGCTACCATATGATAATATGGTAGTTCTATTTTTAATTTTTTGAGGAGCCTCCCTCTTGTTTCCACAGTGGCTACAGCATTTTGCATTCGTAGGAAGAGTGTGTAAGAGTTCCAATTTCTTCACATCCTCTCCAAAACTTGTTGCCTTTTGGGGCTTATTTGGGGTTTTTATTGTTGTTGTTTTTCTATAATAGCCATCCTGACAGGAGTGTGGTGATATCGCATTGTGGTTTTGATTTGCGTTTCGCTGATGCTTAGTGACCGTGAGCATTTTTTTTTCATCTACCTGTTGGCCATTTGTACATCTTTTTGGGGGAAAAAACAAAAACAAAACCTATTTAAGTCCTTGGCCCATTTTTAAATTGAGTTATTAGGTTTTTGCGATTGAGTTG